CCAGGAGGTCTCCCATCCAGGTACTGACCAGGCTCACACCTGCTTAGCTTCAGTGGGTTGCCAGTTGTGAGTTGCAGGGTGATATGGCTGCTGGCTTTAATGAAATATATTCGTTAACAGAACCCCAGTTGAGGTACTGTGGTATGAAGAAGGACATGTAGTGGGGAAGATGGCTTTAGGACACAGGAATGTGGAAATCCTTCACCTTTATTTACTGCAGCTTATAGCCAAACTGGCTCCCCCCCCCAACTTCAGAGGGAACCCAGAAACCTACCAGCAAACCTGGAAGCTTCACAAAGCTTTGTAGCTACTGTAGCACAACAGCTATAGAGTGCCAGTTTTATGCATGTTACATGGACCACTTTTTTAAGCTGTATTTCGTGAGGAGGCCAAAGGAATGAATGTTATATTTTGTCATCTTGCAATTTCTCTCACCTGACCTCAGGTTTCACAAAACTCCTTTATTCTTTGCCTGACAAATCATAGGTTTAGTGACAGTGTTTATTTAAGCCATTTCACATAACAAACACACACATCTCACTTACTGAAGTGCACTCATGTTAACAGATCAGTCCAGCTTCCACACAGCACAAGCTTCCACTGCCACCTCACAGCGTTGTGGGGTTTCCACACGGGACTGCCCCCACCTCCAAGTTAGTAGCAACGGTCATTTCCATTTTGCCATTCACACTCTTCTCCTGTCTTGCTCTTGGCCAGCAAGCCAACACGAGCCGACACTGACCGAGCCTGGTGCCCTCTTTGTAAGTCCCCTTGCGGGGTCTGACCTTTGCTCTGCCCGGTTACTCTCCGCAACACGTGCAGGCGAGGGTCTGACTCCCCGGTGTCGACCAGGTCTGCTGATTCCCTGCGGATTCAGTCTTTACATGCTGCCCAGCTGCCCCGGTACAGTTTGGACCACATAGCTGACATGAACCCTCCACCGTTCGTGTCAGGCTGGAGGGCCTGTGGGTCGGCCCACACTCTCACCTGGCCTCGATGACGTGGCACCGCAGGGCCATCCTCGGGCCATCCCGCAACAGCTCCAGACCCAGGTGAATCTCCCCCTGCACCTCCTCGTCCGGGTCGACCCGCGTCAGGTTCATCCAGTTGTCCAACCCTGACAAAAACAGAAGCACACTATAGCGTTTCCGAGAACGCCATTTACCAAGCAACGCAGCTGTTCATCCTTTGTTGCCTTTGAACATGGAACAGCTCTGGAAGAACCTGGCTGCTCCAGCCACAGCGATCTCAGACACAGAGGAGCGCACATTGTCCTCACGGGACCCTCTTAACGAGTAAGATGTGCTTACCTGAAGAGGCTTTTCCTGCTTCAATACATTTTAATAAATTACAGTGAAGCAGCAATACAGCAGCCAGCTGTCTGACTGGCTTAAGAGGCTTCTAATGTCTGTGATTAAACAAAAGCTTGGAAATTTAGCCCTGTGAGCAGACATAAAAGCGAATCTACAAAACCTTCATTTTTTTTTTGTATTTGGTTTTCTTTTTTTTCCCCAATACACAGGTTTACCCCTGAAACTCTATCATTGACAAAGACACGTCCCAGTGCTCGCTGCATAGCCCATTTCAAGCACTGGCCCAGTAAATGACGAGGGCTTACGAATACTCGCGATCTACACTTAGATGACTTGGATTCTACATCTCCAAGCTCTTATTCACGTGGGTCAAGACGGCAGATTCTTACAACATTTTCTATGGTGTTACCGAAGGCCTCGACTTTCTAAAAAAGATTTGGTATGGGTCAGTC